GAGAAAGCAGTGACATCACTGGTGACCAATGACATCACAGAGGACTGGTGGCAACAAAAAGAACAGCTGTGATGTCACAGGGACATTGGTGACATCACAGGGGACTTCAGTGACTTCACAAGGCCAGGGATGACTTCACAGAGACACCAGTGACATTATCAGTGTCACTGGTGACATCACAGGGGATAGTGGTGACATTCCAGGGACATGGGTGACATCACTGGGGTCATCGGTGACTTCAGAAAGATGGATGACATCACAGAGACGCCAGTGGCATCATTGGTGACACTGGTGACATCACAGGGGACAGTGATGACACCACAGAGATACCAGTGACATCAAGGGGGACATCTGTGACATCATAGGGGACATCAGTGACATCACAAGGCCAGGTGTGACATCACAGAGACACCATTGACATCATTGGGGACACTGGTGGCATTACAGGGGATAGTGGTGACATCACAGGGACATCGGTGACATCATTGGAGACCAGTGACCTCACAGGGGACCGCTGACAACAAAGGGACAGCCGTGATGTCACAGGATTATTGGTGAAATCACAGGGGACCGTGGTGACATCACAGAGATACCAGTGACATCATCAGGGACATTGGTGACATCACAGGGAGTGGTGACATCACAGAGACAGCAGGGACCTCATTGGGGACCAGTGACATCAATGACACAACAGAATTACAGCAGTGATGTCACAGGGACATTGGTGACATCAAAAGGGTCTGGTGACATCACAGGGACATTGATTACATCACAGGGACATGGTGGCACTGCTGGGACAGCAGTGACATCATTGGAGACCAGTGACATCACAGGTGACTGTTTACAGCAATGGGAAAGTCGTGATGTCATGGGGACATTGGTGACATCACAGGGCTGGAGATGACAACACAGAGACAGCAGTGATATCATTGGGGACATTGGTGACATCACAGAGGAACCTGTGAAATCATAGGCGACTGTTGCCAACAAATGGAAAGCCGTGATGTCACAGGGACATTGGTGACATCACAGGAACATGGTGATACTGTTGAGGACAAAGACAGAGACAGCAATGGCATCATTGGGGACCAGAAATATCACTGGGGACTGGTGACAACAAAGGGAAAGCCGTGATGTCACAGGGACACCGAGGACATCACAGGGGACCTGGATAACCACACAGAGACACCAGTGATATCATGGGGGACATTGATGACATCACAGGGGACAGTGGTGACATTACATGGACAGCAGTGACATCATTGTGGACCAGTGACATATCCCAAGAACATCAGTGACATCACTGGGGACATCGGTGACTTCACAAGGACAGGGGTGACATCTCAGAGACACCAGTGACATTATCGGTGACACTGGTGACATCATAGGGACAGCAGTGACATCATTTGGTCCAGTGACATCACAGGACACTGGTGACAGCAAAGGGATGGTCATGATATAACGGCATCGGTGACATCATTTGGGTTATTGGTGACTTCACAAGGACAAGGGTGACATCACAGAGACACCATGACATCATCGGTGACACTGGTGACATCACAGGGACATCCATGACATCTTTGGGGACTGGTGACCTTGCAGGGGAATGGTGACAACAAAGGGATAGTTGTGATACCACAGTGATGTTGGTGACATCCTTGGGGACATTGGTGACTTCACAAGGACAAGAGTGCCATTACAGAGACAGCCACCCCTGGAGCCCCCCCCTGCTACCAAAACCCACCCACAGAAACCCCTGACACCCAGTGACTTCCACTTGCCCCAGGATGGTCCCAGTTCCCAGCAGTGTGATCCCAGTCACTCCCAGTTCATGCCAGTTGCCTCCAGCATGCACCCTCTCACTCCCAGTTACTCCCAGTTGCTTCCAGCACGATCCCAGTTCTCCAGGTATGTTCCCAGTTGGCTTCCAGCACAGCCCCACTGGCTCCCAGTTCCCCCCTGAGTAGTTCCAGTCACTCCCAGTTTGATCCTGGTCCCTTACAGTCACTCCCACTATGATCCCAGTATGGCGCTGGTCACTCCCACTGTGATCCCAGTCACTCCCAGTCACTCCCAATAGGATCCCAGTTGCCCCCAAGGTGGTCCCAGTTGATCCCAGCCCCACCCGGGATGGTTCCTTTCCCTCTCAGGGACTCCCAGTCTGAGTCCAGGATGGCCCCAGGAACTTTCAGGCACTGCCTGGATGATGCCATTTACCCCCTGCATGCTCCCAGTTTATCCCAGTATGATCCCAGTATGAGTCCAGTCACCTCCAGTATGATCCCAGGAACTTCCAAACACTTCCAGTACAAAGCCAGTTTGATCCCACTCATCCCCAGTATGGCTGCAGTCCCTCCCACACACTCCCAGTATTATTGCAGTCACTCCCAGTAAGACCCCAGTAGGACACCAAAAAGGGCCCAGCTGCTCCCACTATGATCCCAGTTGCCTCAACATGGTTCCAGTTGCTCCCCTTCACCCCTACTATGGTTCCTGTCACTCCCAGAACAATCACAGTCACCCCCAGCCACTCCCAGTATATCCCAGTTGCCTCCCACATGCTCCAAGTCAGTCCCAGTATGATCCCAGTCTCTCCTAGTAGGATCCAAGTTACCCCTTGCATGATCCCAGTTGCTCCCACTCACCCCACTAGAGTTCCAGTCCCTCCCAGTATGACTCCAGTGACACCCTCTATGGTGGCAGTCACAGCCAGGATGAACCCAGACATTCCCTGTCACTCCCAGTATAAAGCCATTTGACCCCAGCAGGGTCCCACTTGCTCCTACTCACCCACTACAGTTCCAGTCCCTCCCAGTAGGATCCCTGTCACTCCCAGTCTCACCTAGTATATCCCAGTCAACCCTAACATGCTCCCAGTTACTCCCAGTAGGATCCCAGTCACTCCTGGTCTCACCCAGTATATTCCAGTTGCCCTCAGTGTGGTCCCACTCACTCCCTGTTGCTCCCAGTAGCTTCCAGCATGATTCCAGTTGCTCACAGCCGCTCCCAGTCACTCTCAGTGTGGTCCCAGTCACCTCCAGCATGATCCCACTTGCTCCCAGAATATCCCAGTTGGGCCAACATGGTCTCAACTGCCCTCAGAATGCTCTCAGTCACTCCCAGTATAACCCCAGCCACCTTCACTGTGGGCCCAGTTGTACCCAGTATGATCCCAGCTGTGCCCAGCATGGTTCCAGTTGCTCCCAGTTGCTCACAGTGGTATCCTACTACCTCCCAATTGCCCCTAGCATAGAACCAGCCACTCCCAGTATTATCGTAGTATGATCCCAGTATGTGTCCAGTCACTCCCAGTATGATCCCAGTAACATCCAGACACTTCCCATATGAAGCCATTCATCCCCAGTATGGCTGCAGTCCCTCTCACACACTTCCAGTATTATTGCAGTCACTCCCAGTATGATCCCAGTATGACCCCAGTAGGGGCCCAGGTGCTCCCAGTATGATCCCAATTGCCCCAGTTCTGGTCCCGCTGGGTCCAGTCCAGCTCTGGGTGTATCCGGTGTCCCCCCTGCCCCCCACCCCGGTGTCACCCCCTTTTCTCTCCCCACAGAGCTCCTGAGCCAGCGGCGGCCGCAGCCCCTCCCCATGGCCTTGGGCACAGCCGGGATCCCCCAGTCCATCCCCACCTGGAGTTTGGGGGGATCGTGTGTCCCCCCTTGCCCTGCTTTTGTTCTCACGCCAGCCGCCTGCTGCTCCCAGTGCTCCCAGTAAAGCTTCCGAGTTCCCAGTTCTCTGTAGTACTGCTTAGTGGGGGATATTGGGGGGGGGGGGGGGCTTTGAAAATCCTGGGAATGGGAAGGTTTGGGCAACGTCAGCCCCCCAAAATCCCATGTATCCAGGACACCACAAAGCCAAACTCCAGCAATCCGGGACCCCCCAAAACCCACCTTGGACCCTCCAGGCCGCGGGCAGAGTCAGCCAATGGGAGCGAGCGCTGCTGCCGCGTCAACAGTTGCCGGGCAGACCCGACCCAAACTGAGCCCTCACCGAGATCAGCCAATCAGAGAACGCCCTCCACTCGGTTTTGGGGACACGTCGGAGCTCCGGGACAGCCGGATCGCCGTTTTTGGGATCGGCAGAGTTGTGGGACCCCTGGACGCCCATTTGTGGGTTCCCCTGAGCTCCCACCTGCCCCGCACCCCACGGACCTCCCAGAACCCCCCACCCCCGAGGCTGCAGTGCCCAGAACGGCCTTAGCCAATCAGGAAGCACCGACGCGAACTGTGGCCAATCAGAGCTCACACTGCTAATGACTCATCAGTTGCCGGGAAGACGCGACGCTAAACGAGCCCGAACTTTGCGCCCAGCCAATCAGAGCGCGTCCAAAACAGCCGAAAAACGGCTCCACCCGGCTGGTTTTGGGGTGTCAGTCCCTGCCCGGCGCTGGGGATGGAGCGTGTGCGGGGAGCTGGGGCCGTACTGGTGGTACTGGTGGTGCTGGGAGCCCCCCCGGCTGCGGGCGAGGAGCTCTCGGGTGAGCGGGGGGGGCGGGAAAGGGGAAAGAGGAGAGAAAAGAGGGGGTGGGAACCCTAAAAGTGAGCACGAGAGGGGGGTTGGAACCCTCGGAATTAGTGGGAGTGAAGTGGGAGCCCCAAACTGAGCGCGGGGGGGGGGTCTGGGGATTGGGAGGACAGTGGGAAAATGGGTGGGAGAGGGGCAAAAGGGGGGTAGGAGAGAAGGAAGAGGGGTGCCATGGGGGTCCCTCTGTGTCCCCCATCACTGGATCCCTGCAGTGGTTCCCTGGAGGTTTGGGGGGGTGTCGGATCCGCACTGGGGGAGTCCTCAATGCCCCTGTCCATCCCAGGGGGGTTGATAAGGGATTCCCCCCAAGTCAAGAGCCGGTGACGCGGCGGCCGTGGGGCAGAGGGGGGTGGGAAAGGGGGGGTCCGGGGTGGCCCCCGAGCTCCCAACCTGCTGTGGGGGGCAGGGGGATGATGGTGGGGACAGGGTACCCCCTGACCCGTGTCCTGCACACACAGGGGTGTTCCAGGAGTTGAGAAACCAGGAGTGTCACTTCATCAACGGCACCGAGCAGGTGAGGTTTGTGGAGAGGAAAATCTACAACCGGCAGCAGTACGTGCACTTCGACAGCGATGTGGGGGTCTTTGTAGGGGACACCCCGTTTGGGGAGGTCCAGGCCAGGCACTGGAACAGCCAACAGGACGTGTCCACCCCGTTCCTTGTGAACCGCAGAGGTGAGTGCGGGGCAGAGCGGGTCCCCTCGGGAATTCCCCTGCCCTGGGAACGACCCTGGAGCCCCTGAAACCCTCCTTGGGAATCACCCCTGACCCCTCAGCTCTTCTTGTGCCCATCCTCGTGGCCTTGTGCCCCCTCCCAGTGCCCCCAAATCCATCCCAGTCTCCTGTTGCCCCTTATTCCATTGCGATCCATTCCAGTTTCTTCCAGTGTCCCCCAGTCCACCCCAGTCTCTCCCAGTGACCCCCCGCATCTCCGCCTCGCTAGGGCCACCCCTCTCCCTCCCCTCAGCCAATCAGAGCGCGCATCTCCGATGACTCATTAGTTGCTGGGCAGACCCGCAGAGTAGAGTTCCCTCACCAGGACTCACCTCCCAGTCCCGCTCAGGCCCTTCCCAGTCCTTCCCAGTCCCTCCCAATCATTCCCATTACCTCTCACTCCACTCCCAGACCCTCTCAGTCCATTCCCAGTCGTTATCAGTTCACTCCCACATCTCCCAACTCTCTCCCCAGTGACCCCCCTGGCCCATCCCCTTCTACCCCAGTCCATTCCCAGTCCCTCCCACTGCCATCCCAGTCCCTCCCACTGCCATCCCAGTCCCTTCCATTGCCATCCCAGTCCCTCCCACTGCCATCCAAACCCCTACCAATGTCCTACAAGCCCTCTGCCCTCTCTCCCCAGTGCCCCTCAGCTCAACCCAGTGTCTCCCCCATCTCTCCCAGTACCCCCCAGCATGTCCATCTCGCTGGTACCGTCGAGCTCCCAGCCCGGCCCCGGCCGCCTGCTCTGCTCCGTGATGGATTTCTACCCTGCCCGATGCAGGTGAGGTGGTTCCAGGATGGGCAGGAGCTGCCGGAGCACGTGGTGGCCACCGACGTGGTCCCCAACGGGGACTGGACCTACCAGGTGCTGGTGATGCTGGAAATCCCCCCCCGGCGCGGGGTCACCTACACCTGCCAGGTGGAGCACATCAGCCTGGAGCACCCCCTCAGCCGGCACTGGGGTACGGCCCGGCCCCCCCAGCATGGGGGGACACTGGTGGGGCGGTCAGGGGTCTGGGGGAGCACTGGGGACACTGGGAGGCACTCTGGGGGACAATGGAGAGGCTGAGGAAGAGGTTGGGGGGTCCTGGGAGGGCTGAGTGGGGCTGTGGGGAGTCCTGGGGGAGACTGAGAGGGAGTTTGGGGAAGCCTGGGAGGGATGGGAGGGAGGTTTGCAGGGTCTTGGGGTGACTGGGATTGGGTTGGGGAAGTGCTAGGTGGGGTGGGAATGGACTGGGAGGGGTTCAGGGGTGTCCTGGGGGTGATGGGAGGGGGGTGGAGGGTTCTAAGCAGGATGGGAGGGGCTTTGGGGATCCTCGAGGGGCTGGAAAGAGACTGTAGGAGGTTTCAGGGAGTGCTGGGGGGGCTGGGGGAGACTAAGACAAGGTTTTCAGGGGGTCCCAAGTGGTCTCTGGGAGGTTTTGGGGGTCCTGACCCACCCGGCTCCCTCCAGAGATGCCACAGGACACCGTGCACAGCAAGATCCTGGTGGGGGTCGGGGGCTTCGTGTTGGGTTTCGTCTTCCTGGTGGTGGGGCTTGGCTTCTACCTGCGGGAGAAGGTAAAGGAGGGTCCCCAGGGTCGTGTCTCCCGTTCCCTAGAGCGTGTGTGCCCCCTCTGCCCCCGCAGCCTGCTGTCACCCCCTTTTCTCTCCCCACAGAGCTCCTGAGCCGCCGGTGGCCGCAGCCCCTCCCCGTGGCCTTGGGCCCAGCCGGGACCCCCCAGTCCATCCCCACCCGGAGTTTGGTGGGGTCATGTGTCCCCCCCGGCCCTGCTTTTGCTCTCACACCAGCCACCTGCTCCCAGTGTTCCCAGTAAAGCTTCCCAGTTCTCTGCAGTCCTGGTGTTGAAGGGCAGGTGCCCTCCCAAAGCCCCCCCAGAATCAACTTATGCAAACTGTACAATGGTTGGCACCCGTTGTCTTTCTGCTTCCAGGAGTGTGTATTTTTCTGCCATGTCTGGTTCAATGTTTTCACAGCTTAATGGCTCAAACTGTGTCTGCTTTGTTTAAAGAAAAAGAGGGAAGTGTAGGGATTTTTAGTGCTAATATAGAGGATATGCTGCAGATGTGAGAACACAATCTTATGTTGCTAACTAGAGGATATGCTGCTATGAGAAATAATCTTATGCTGCAATTGTGAAAATGTGATCTGTTGTTCTGATGGGCTTTTGATGGTACCAGGATGTGAAAGATCTACCAAGAGAAACAGTAGCAAAACCAGATATAGAAAACAGGGTCCCAGTACTGGCTATCAGAGTGGGAAAGGACATAAAGAATGTTAAAGAAACAGAGCTGATAGAAGAGTATTGTTAGAAAACTGGATCAAAGACTGCTGCTTGATTCCAATCAACGGCGCTCTCTGATCATCACATTGCTGTGCTGAGTCGTCCGTGCTCGCATGAAAACCCCCCAGGCAGGTGCCCTCCCAAAGGCCCCCAAACATCCCCAACATCCCCAGTGATGTCACCACTGTCCCTGTGATGTCACTGGTGTTCCCAATGATGTCACAACTGTCCAACTGATGTCATCGCAGTCCCTGTGATGTCACCAGACAGCTGTGATGTCATTGGTCTCCAGTGATGTCACTGCTGTCCCCACGGATGCCACCACTGTCCCTGTGATGTCACTGCTGTCCCTAATGATGTCACTGGTGTCCCCAATGATGCCACCGATGTCCCTGTGATGTCATTGGTGTCCCCAGGGGTGTCCCCAGTGTCCCCAATGATGTCACCACTGTCCCTCTGATCTCACTGACATCTCCAATGATATCACTGCTGTCCCCAGTGATGTCACCGCTATCCCCAGTGATGTCACTGGCCTCCAGTTATGTCACCAATGATGTCACTGGTGTTTCTGTGATGTCACCCTTGTCCTTGTGAAGTCACTAATGTCCCCAAGGATGTCACTGATGTCCACGTTATATCACAGTTGTCCCTTTGTTTTCACCAGTCCCCTGAGATGTCACTGGTCCACAATGATGTCACTGCTCTCCCTGTAATGTCACCACTTTCCCCTGTGATGTCACCAATGTCCCCCATGATATCACTGTTGTCTCTGTGTTTTCACCTCCACCTCACCTGTTGTTATCCAGGTCCCCTGTGATGTCATTGATGTCCCTGTGGCATCACGGCTTTCCCTTTGATGTCAACAGTCGCCTATAATTTCACAGTTTCCTCTGTGATGTCACCACTGTCCCCTGTGATGTCACCAATGTCCCCAATGATATCACTGCTGTCTCTGTGTTTTCACCTCCACCCCCTGTGATGTCACCGATGTCCCTGTGACATCACGGCTTTCCCATTGCTATAAGCAGTCACCTGTGATGTCACTGGTTTCCAATGATGACATTGCTGTCCCAGCAGTGCCACCATGCCCCTGTGATGTCACCAGACCCCGTGATGTCATCAATGTCCCTGTGACATCACTGCTGTTCCTCTGTTGTCC